GCTTTCATTTTATTATTTTTCGTATAAATTGTTATCACTCGCATTTGTTTGAGCTTTCTTCTCATATTACGGCCGCATTGTTTTGCTGCGCTCGGGACTGCATTTGCTATGCCTTTCTATTTAGGTGCATCACAAAACAACTAAAACAAAATATGGCGACCATTGCCGAAAAAATGCGAAAATGCGAAAATGCAAAACAGCATTGCAACAATTTCCAAACATTTTCTGCATATTTTCGATTCTTTTCCACTGACTGGCGTTGTTTACGTGGCGCAACACATAATGTGCRCCGCATTGCAAATGGCCGTGTTGCACGTTGCTGCAAGTATTGAAAATAACAACAGAATTCTGCATTTATCAAGCATTTGCGCGCTGTTTAAATTGCACTTGAAACGCTRCAATTTGCGCAAACGACTTCGAAGTGCCACGGACTTTGTGCATTATGAGAATGAAGTGGTTTAGAATAAAGCAAATAATTTCAAGAAAATAAAATTTTTCTCTTTTTTTTAGCACAAATAGCGAAAGCTAAGAAATGCAAATTTCATTTCCTCTGCATTGCAGTATATTTTCAAACGTCTTTATGGACTTAAATTTATGACGAATACTAACTCTTGATACTTTTAAAATTGCATTTACAAGAACTTCATTTTGATTGTTGGGTTGTATGGAGGCTATATGCTATAGTGGTCTGATTTTAACAATTCCCTCGGAGGTTACAGCTTCGTCTTTGGCAATAATCTGTAGTGAATTTTGCAAGATACCTTCTCAAAGAAAAACGTTTTCGACGTATGAATTTGATATCGGTCGTTTAGTTTGTATGACATTTTTATGCTATAATGGTCAGATATCAACGATTCCAACAACTAATTAGCCGCTTGGAGAGAAAATGACGTGTGCTTAATTTCACAGAGGCTTCTCAAAAGATATCGCATATATAAAAACTAATAGGCAGAYGGGCCTGYCGACTCAGCTCATYATGMTGATCATTTATATATACTATATTTTATGATGTTACCAACATTTCGTTGTGAATGTTGCCAACTTCATGAGAACTTAAAAAATATACTTGTATGTCTGGGATATATTATTTTTTTCAAGAACTGAAAGAGAATTACAAACTGACTGATCCAGCGAATGAAAATTTTCAAAACTTGCATAAAAATTTACTTGGCWTTTAGCTGATTTTTAAAGACGAACTTAGAAAAGCATCAACTCTGGTTATACTATTTCTCCATGGTTTAAGTTTTATTTATTAAAGTTAATAGCCAATCAGAGAGAAATCAGTTATCGTTATATGGGGACAATAAGTGAAAGTGTCATATATCTGACGTTCGTGTTGCTTATATGGGCTTTCTATTTTTTATTGTGAAACTACACTAAATTTAATATTTTAACCAAATCGTTCTGCCTTTTGTGAAGCTCTGTATGAAAATATTGAATTACATCGGTAAACACTATTTTTGCCACACGTACTTTGTTATTTGGGATATTCAAAATTTTTAATGAGTTTTCATATGATAAAAAACCTAAAATTTTCGTAAGCAGTGTCATGTACGGTTATTCATATAAAGCCTTAAACCATTTTTTATATCTCTAACCGAAAACTTGCTATTACAGCCATAGAAATATTTTAAGAGTACACGAAGGGCTAAACATAACAGTGAAGGTTTGATCTTTTCGTCATATTAAGATACTAACAATCTAACCTAACAAATTTTGGAACTTATGGAGCGTACATTTTCATTTAATTAACGGATAGAAGCAGAGGCATATTTCAGACGCATTTACTCAATTTTTTCTTAAATTTTTTTTAACTAAATTATTAACGAAAACTRAAGAAATACTTTGAAGAAAAAAGTGAAATTCAGATATTGTAAAATAATACGAAATACTGTGTTAAAAAATCTCGAAATCACGATTTCTGCAACATATTGTGTCAGCAAAACATCTACGGTTATTTTAAAAATTTTTTTTTGTAACACATAATTTCAATAATTTCGTTATATTTGATTAAAAAAAAAAGTGTTTTTT